GGTAAAAGCTGGTGGAGGATGAGTAAGGGGACCCTCATGATGGCTCTTGTCATCTCTTGTCTGTATTGGTGCAGTGACCTGTTAACTGGCCTGCTTGATTGTGGTTGTGCCCCTGTCATATTGCTAGAAAGATTGTCTTCCAAAAATAGTGAACTTCTCTCTCAGCTGCCTAAAACCTAACAATACCTCTCTCGTATCAACTAGGTATTAAAATTTTTGTCATGAACTGACACTTGTCTATTTTTAGATTAATCTTTTGCTACTAAGTCCCCACCCACGGTCTCCCACGGCTCACCAAGTTTAATTTGAAATTACTTATAAGGTGGTGTTTACTGTACTTTTTACTGTTTTGATGTGTTCTTTCCTCTTCCCAGAATTCCTCTCTTTCCTGGCTCATGTAAACCTTGTTATCTTTTCTTGTTCATTACTTAAAATGCAATTCAGTCAGCACCTTCTTTGGGCAGAGTTTTTTTTTTTTTTTGCTCAAGATTGGTTGCCAGACTTGTTGAATTTGATGACAGTTTTTTCATCATTGATTTTGTACTTAATATGTAGCAGTAGTTACTTAGTTTTTCTTAACATTTATGCATGCATGCATTCATTAAATACATATTTTTTTCAGCCACCTGTTTCGTACCAGGTATTGACCTAAGCATTGGGTGATACAGCTGTGGATGACACAGATGTGTCAGTGACACATGGAATTTACAGTCTGGAAGATTGAATACATATTAAAATATTTTATATATTAAAATATATTTTTCTTTCATTAGTGGTACAAGATAAACTATTTGGCCTTCCAAGGACATGATAAGTAATGGTGTCAAATCAATATGTAAACTTTGACATATGTGAGAATATTAAGAACCCACTGAAGGCTGGGGCACAGTGGCTCACACTTGTAATTCCAGCATTTTGGGAGGCCGAGGTGGCAGATCACCTGAGGTCAGGAGTTCCAGACCAGCCTGACCAACACGGTGAAACCTTGTCTTTACTAAAAATACAAAAATTAGGTGGACGTGGTGGCACACACCTGTAATCCTAGCTACTCAAGAGGCTGAGGCAGGAGAATTACTTGAACCCGAAAAATGGAGGTTGCAGTGAACCAAGATCATGCTGCTGTACTCCAGCCTGGGCAACAGAGTGAGACTGTCTACAAAAAACAAACAAACTCATTTACATATGGGATTATGTTAGATATTATGCAAAAAGTTTTTATTCATTGTACTTAGTATAATACGTGTATGATTTCATCTATAGTTCCTGCATCATAACTCCCATAACCCTTGATACAGTCTTTTGTTCTAATATTGGGGTACCTCAGGCCTCAGAAAACAGTCTCTCTCTGTGACCCGCTCCTTTTCTTTCTTTTTTTTTTTTTGACACTCTCCTTTTCTTTCACATGCTTCCTTCTCTCTTGAAGGCAGGAGTCTTCCCCCGCTTTCTGTCTTGGAAGTGGCCATAAAGAAATTCTCTGACCTGCCTTGTTGGCTGATTGTAGGTCTTAACACCTTCCTTTCAGAAGGGATTCTGTCTCATATCCTTGGGGAAGGAATGCTGCACAAGGAGGCCAAGAAGCATCTGAACAGACAGGCCTGGCTGGGTTTCCCCGCTCAGTCTGTTAGTATTAGATCCTATCTTTTTTGTCCAGTCACATTTCTGTATGGTTGTCAGTCACGCCTAGCCAATGAAATCTCCACAGAAGGCCCAAGAGTCCAGGTTCAGGGCGCTTCCGGATAGCTGAATACATTGGAGGTTCCTGGAGTGTGGTGCGTCCAGGAGGGTATGGAAGCTCTGCACCCCTTTCCCCTATTTGCTCCATGCATGTCTCCGTTCATATGCTATGTAATATTCTTTATAATAGACGGGTAAATGTATTTCCCTTCCTGAGGTCTGTGAGCCACTCTGACAAATTAGTCAAACCCAAAGAGGGGGTCGTGGGCACCCCAACTTGAAGCGAGCTCCTCAGAAATTCCAGAGGCTTTGACTTGTGCCTGGTGGGAAGCGGGCAGTGATCTTGGGAGACTGAGCCCTTAACCTGTGGGATCTGGTGCTATCTCCAGGAGGATAGTATTGGAATTGAATTTGATGAAACCCAGTTGGTGTCCACTGCAGAACTGATTATTTGCTTGATGTGTGGAGAGAAACTTCTACACATTTGGTGACAGAAGTCTTACTGTGATTGCTGTGGTGTGAGAGCAGAGGAAAAGCGCAGTTCATATTTATTTTTCTTCATTCTTTTTAAGTTTACATTCATATGAGAAATGTCTTCAGAATTTTCTTTTCCAAGCAGAGGCTCCTTGACCTTCTTTATGGGATACTGTAGAAGTGACTTCTTTATATAAATTTTTACAGCAAAACACTTTAAGTTTCTTTGAGTTTTACATCTCCTTTTTCATGATTTTATTTGTTTAGACGTTGTCACGTATCAGTAGCTATAGCGAAACCACTTTTATTATAACCTAGCACAGAATTTCTCAAAGTGGCTTCTTTAGATTAGTCAGACTGTGGGATATTTTAAAATATTACACAAAGAAAGCAAAAGAAAGTTAAAAAACTTTCATTAATTGCAGGCCTGCTTGGATCCTTTACTGTGCTATTCACTATGACTCTTAAGAGAGATTCACATAAAAAATAGTATTTCATAGAGGTCTTTGACCAAGAAACTCTTTTCTTTTTTTCATGGAATATCTTGTGGAATTATCTGTAGGACACCAGGTATGAAATGTTGATTTTAATATTGGATTTCATGCTAAAAAGTATTTAGATTAACATCTAGGATTCCCCTTCATCTTACTCCCTTCCTTGAAACCAACACCATGTAAATATGATTTTTTATGATGAACAAGTGGGGTTCATCCTAGAAATGAATACTGGTTTAACATTCAAAATTGAATCAACATAATTCAACATTTGAACAGATTAAAAAAGAAAAACCGTGTAATTATTTCAGTAGCCGCAAAAAATATTTGGCAAAAATCTAACATCTATTCTTTGTAAAAGCTTCCAGCAAAGAACAGAAGGGAATTATCAACCTGATAAATCAGGGCATCTCTAAAAAATGTATAGCTAACATAATACTTATTGGTGAAAAATTGAAGACTTTTTTTCCTAAGATTAGGAACAAGGAAAGGATGTCTCTTCTCTACTTCTGTTGTACTGGAGGTTCTATCGCAGTAAGTCAGCAAACTACAGAAAAGCCATTTGGACTAATAAGCAACTTTAGGAAGTTTGCAAGATTACAGGGTCAACAGACAGAAATGTTTTATTTCTGTACACTAATAACAATCAGAAAATTGAATTTAAAAAACCCAGCGTTTACAGTAGTGTCAAGAAATACAAAACATTTAGGAAATAATCTGAAATAAAGACGTGAAAGATCAATATATGAAACTGGAAGCCATTATTGAAAGAAACTTAAATGAGATATTTTGTGTTCATGGGTTTGAAGACCCCATATTAAGATGTCAGTTCTCCCCAAATTGAACTTTAAGATTGACGTAATCTGAATCAAAATCTCAGCAGCCTTTTTATAGAAAATCAAAACAAGCAGACTGATTTTACAACTCATATTAAAAGCAGACATGTGATTAGGTATCAAGACTTTATAATAAGCTATAGTAATAAATACTGTAGTTATATGGAGTAGCAATAGTACAGTATAGTAGGTACACTATAGTACACTCTATAGTGTAGTATTGGTGTTAGTGCAGATAAATAACCAATGGAACAGCAATGAAAGTGGAAATACATATACGTGTATGTATATACACGTGCGTGTGTATATATATAAACACACGGTCATTTGGTATATGACAAAGATGACACCGCAGCAGTGCAGTGTGGTAAAGGATAATCTTTTCAATATATCATTTGAGGTCAATTGGATATCCTTAAAGAAAAACAAAGATTGACTTTGCCTTATATCATTAAAAAAACTTAATTCTAAATGGATTGTAGATCTAAATATTAAAGGTTAAAAAATAAAGCTTACATTAGAAAATAATATGAGAACTTAGAGTAGAAAAATAATTCATAAATAGTACACAAAGCATTCATCTTAAAGAAAAAGAGATTGATTACTTAGACCACATTAAAATTATGAATTTCTTTTTATAGTAGTAGTTAATGGAAAGACACCATTGGGAATCTTTTAAAAAGACAAGTTACAAGGTAGAAGAAGAAATTTGTAATACAGATGAACCATGCCCAGAATATTTTTATTGGTTTTTAAAGAGTATGATGAAGTGAAGATGTGTTTTAGTTTTTCCATCAGTTAATCCCATTTAAAAGGAACCCTAGTTCTTTGACTCACAGATTTTGGTCATAAAATAACATTTATAAAGAACCTAGAAACACTTGGTGTTGAGTAGAATGAGTGCAAATGTAGTTCCTGGAGGGCAAGGGCTGTGTCTCATTAATATTTCAATTTTTGAGTCTTGTGCAAGGCCTGGCATATAATTATCTTCAGCCTGTGTTTACTGAATTAATGGATGAATGCTTTATAATTACAAAGTATGAATAAAAGAATAAACACTCTCATGAGAACTGGCCTTTTAAGTTTAAGAAATCACAGTAAGCAGTTGGGTAAAAGAATAAAAGTACTAACATTTTTAGAATATAAAGTTAAGTTGCATTTTAGGGATGTAAGACATGGGGCATAATTATAGGGAACTTACTTCTGATACTTATCTTCTCATAGTGTCAGAGTAGAAGGAAATATCTTTGATCTGAAAGGCAGAATGGAGAAGAATTTCATCTCAGGAAACAGGATTTTCTAAACAATTAATGCTTTTGGAGAAGTAGAAATGGTTGAGACAGCGTTTGTGGGAGCTAACTAGAGCTTGGATTTAGCAAATGGCAGAAGAGTGTGGTATATCTCAGTAAATTTTTGAAGCGTTGAGTAAATCTCTAGCATGTGAATGCATGTGTCAGGCGTCTGATGAATGACGTGAATTGGTAATGATTACATTATTTAAATATCAACTTTACATTTTTGCAGAGTTCTAAAGTTCCTGTTGCTTCAGACAATGGATGAGCAATCACAAGGAATGCAAGGGCCGCCGGTTCCTCAGTTCCAACCACAGGTAATTTATCCTAATTAAGTAGCCAGAAGTATATATAATCTATGTTAAATATGTGTAAGAAAGTAGTACATTTATTGTTCCTTTAGGAAATAAAGTAGCCCAAAAATGCTAATTTTGAATTTTCAAGTTTTTATCAGCATTTTTTATCTGTTTTTCAATTTTGTTTATGGCTTTTATGTATAGTTTTAGGTGTAATTAGTATACTCTTTAGGTATAATTATTTAGTTGTAATTTATTTATTTTTAATTGATACATTATAATTGCACATATTTATGGGGTGCATTTTGATAGAAATATTTATTTTAAAATATTGTTTGATAATGTTTAGCTCTCATTTACAAACATGGAAACAAAAAGGCAGCTTTAGCTTTTAATTTTATTTGAATGACCTGTAAGCTCTGAGCATTAGTATTAGGTTTAGTGAAAAAAGAGGAAAAAAAAAAAAGACAAGGCCAGGCGCGATGGCTTATGCCTGTAATTCCAGCACTTTGGGAGGCTGAGGCCAGTGGATCACCTGAGGTCAGGTGTTCAAGACCAGCCTGGGCAACATGATGAAACCCCGTCTCTACTAGAAATATAAAAAATAGCTGGGCGTGGTGGCACATGCCTATAATCCCAGCTACTCTGGAGGCCGAGGTAGGAGAATCACTTAAGCCCAGGAGGCAGAGTTGCAGTGAGCCGAGATTGCGCCATTGCACTCCAGCCTGGAAGACAGAGCGAGACTCTATCTCAAAAATAAATTAAAAAGGTGAGGCTGTGCCTAAGTTTGGGAGTGCAGGTACATTTTGTACCTGCCCTTGCTTTAGTGGGCTGATTTTGCCTTGCCCACAGCTGCCTTCCATGGTGGTAACTTTTCTCTCCCTCTCACTTGTAGTTTATTTCTCCTGTGACATATTTGCCTGTCTCTTGTATTTAATAATATAAAATGAAGTAAAAAAAGTTTTAGTAAAAAATATATACACATTACTGAAATTCATTATTTACCATCCTGCATTCAATGTGAATGCTTGTCATAAAGCTAATGTGTAATGACATGTTTAAAATAACAATTGCCGCTCCATGTCAGGGCAGTACCTCATTTTTATTGCTGTTGTTCCTGAAGACTGTATTTCTCAGCTTGGTCTTTGAGGCATTCTACAATATGTCTCATGTATACTCTGCTAGCCTTGTCCCAATTTTGTTTGGATAGTACTTCTGAAAACATTTGGGCAATTGATAAGTGTTCTTTCACAGGAGCTCTGTAGTCAAATAGGTTTGGGAGACTTGGGGAAAACAGTGACTTTGTGGCAGTACTTTCTCAGAGCCTTTCATACACTAATGTGCATTGTAAATGAATTTCAAAAAGTAGTATAGGCTGTAGTGTTTTCCAAACTTATTTGCCTATGGAATCCTTTTTCTATTTTTCGTGCATCTATTGACTTATCACAGAAGCACTGCCCAGAGAATAACTGTCTACAAAAAAAAAAAATCTTTTCTGCTTCTGTGACTTTGCTCATTTTGTCCCCTCCATCTTCCCCTCCAATTTTCTAAATCCTGCGCATCCTCAAGTACCATCAAAAAAGCCATCTCTACCATAAAGCTTTGTCTGATCCTCTAAATGCAGTATCTTTCCTTGGAAACGTGACGATGTCTTTGCATCTCTCTTCTGCTATTTCTGATAACTTTTGCGTCATTTTTATATGGGCATTTTTCTTACCTGTCTTATTAGGTTATAATCTGCTTGAGGGAAGGAACTGTATCTTACTTACCGTGGATGCCCTGTGGTACTTCAGTGCCCTGAGAAATGGAAGCTTATTGAGCTCCTACTTCTTACTGTAATAGGAGCTCAATAAGAACATGTAATTGAAACCAACCAGGGACCCATTGAAATTAGTCCTTTACTTAATTGCACTATTACATTGCTTTTCTTTGTTATACCTGTCTTTCCAACAGGGAAAGAGGTTCTATATTGATTAAAAAGACCCTTTAGCTTAAAGTAAGGCCAATATTTTAATTTCAAGAAGAATTTTTTTAAGTCCCCATTATATTTTATGTTATGGTCAGAAATTATGTTATTTATATAATTATAAGATTATAATAAACAACTTATATCTATGGAATATAGACCTCTTAATACTCCTTTTACACATATACCAAACAATATTGTTTCATATTATGTTATTTCCAGCAAAGACACTTCCAAAAATTAGGTAGTTCATGTTATGATTTTGAGAGTCACAGTTTTTAACAACCTTGTGTTTCAAAGAGGGAAAAAATAACTACTTTCATTTTTGCCTCCTACTGACTCACCAACTAGGAAAGGTCGGCGTGGCAGTAGGAGGCAAAAATGAAAGTGATTGTTTTCCTGTGAAACACTGGGCTGCCACACGGTATAAATTTCAAAATTGTAGAAGCAGTTCTGCATTTCTTTTCACACGGTTCCTTTCGCTTATGCCTCCTGCTGCTGCTCCTATGTGGGTGAACCTCTTTCCCTGTTGGAAACAGGCAAGTGTCATTCCAGGTTCTAGCTGCCTTGTGGCAGGTGGGGGAAGGGAGAAGGATTTTTTTTTCCCTACTCTCTGCGTTCACACTGATGGTGTGAGACAGTGAGAGAAAGATTACCTGACAAGAGCTTATAGGCATTATTGCTTATTAAGTCTTTGAAAAACGTTATTGGTCTCAGTAGCATTATTTTAAAAGACTGGGAAAGGACACCCTGTGTTCAGGGTTGACAACCTATTTTTAGTTTTGTTCCACACCAGTGGCCTGAGTAATGGGGGTGACAGTAGCAGCAGTGCTACTGTCCAGAATGAAGGTGGTAAGAGAGTGAGCCAGGGGTTAAATTTTCAGTTCATGTGAGTGGTAATGAGAGGTCAGAAGATGATAGCAATAAGGAAGGTAAAAGTCCTTTAGCTGGGTGGTAGAAGCCTCAAAGCTGTGGTTCCTCACTGCCGCCCAACTTTGTCCCCCAACTCCCCACACAAAAAGGAGCAGTAGTGTTGTAGAAGAGGCATGGTGGATGGAGAAGGTTGTGGTTCCGACCTCCTGACCCTATGTATGTGGGCAAGGGAGAATAAGTAGCCTCTGCTTGAGAGGGTTACAGGGGAAGCAGTACCCTGGAGGGAAGAGGTATGCTCCCATTGAAGCAAGAATGTGCGGGAAAATTACATAGGGTTAGCCCAGTGACTTATTTCACTTTTGTAATGCTGATATAAGTTCAGGTGTAAACAGAAAACTAAGGAAGTCAGTTTTCTGAGTGTCAAATAGCAATTCCATGTTACATGATGAGTGGTGTATATTCTTGGCATATCCTTTCTTTTTCTTGTATCAGAATGAATATTCTCACCCCATAATGCGTAACATGTGGTCTCATTTTTGGTACAATATAAGTTCCTTTTGTTTTGTTTTAGAATGTGAGACTTACGTATCTTTATTAATGTATTCAGAATTTTTTTCTCAGCTCTGCTTCCTCCCACTCTGCCTTCCTTTCCTCCTTTCTTCCTTTATTGATTCCTTCCACTAATGTCTCTAGAAGGTACTGAAAGCATATTTTGACTAGATGCTTATTCTATATATTTTCATTGCCCTCGGACTCTTGTTTGTGGAACAGTGGATTTAGCTCTTTTAAAAAAATAAAACTTTAAACTGTGTAAAAGGTGGTGATTGGGAATTAGTAAAATTTTTACTCTTTACTATAAGACTAATTTTAAACAATGGAAGTTTACAATTAACATTTTGTATTTTTATTTATGGTTATTAGGTGAAGATGGCCATAGTACATCCAAATTTTTTCATAAAGTTAAATATAAACCAATTATAATTAGAGTACAATTTTAAGAATTTCTGTTGAGTGATTAGAAGGTTGTTTAATTTTCATTGTGATGTGATCAGAGGCCTAGGATATGTTTTGTTTTGTTTTTAATTTGAAGGTGGTGTAATACTTTGGCTACTTATGAAAGAGAGAGGACATGTCACCCACATATGTGGGTAGAAAAACAGATACTCCTTATTCCTACAGGAGTACATAATTTAGCACAGTGGGTTAGAGCGTGAGCTTGAAGTCATACTGCCTGGGATCAGTTCTTAGTCCTTCACTTCCTAGCCATGTGATGCAGAGGAGGTTATTTAACATCTAGAAACGTCAGTTTTCTTATTAGTGATTGAGATGAACCATAGTTTTTACCTCATAAAGTTGATATGGAGCTTTTAGGATGATGCTTGGCACATAGTTAACACTCATTAAATGTTAGCAAAGATGATGATGATGACTGCAGTGACAACATGCTGCCAATAATTGTCTTGGCCCACATTTCTCTATCCATTGTTTTCTTCCATATCATATTATATCTTTTATTACATCTTTCTTACCTACTTTCTGCCTAGATGGCTTCTCCTTTGGCCTTGTTTTTACCAGTAAATGGCATCACTATTCATCTGTGTGCTTCACCCAAAAATCTCAATTATCCTCAATTTCTTTCTCTCCGTCATTTCTCATATTCAATTCATTGACAAGATTTTGACTCCTTCTCAAGATTATGTTCTGATTCCTCCTGCTGTCCTCATCTCTCTTGCCTCCTCAGGCCATACTCACTACCTCCTGTCCAGGCTCCTTGCTTCCATTCTTGCTCTACTCACCCTTCTTCCCAGTTCTCCATGCAGCATCATGAGTTATTTTTGTAAAATGTGTATCAGAATGCAGAATGGGGCTACCTTGCTTAAAACCCAGACCCCTTACTCTTGCTGTCAAAGCATAATATGATTTTCTCAATGCTTACTTCTTTTGTGTGTGTGTATGTGTGTGTGGGGGGGAATGGGGAGAGAGAGAGAGAGAGATTAGGTCTCACTCTGACAGCTTGTGTTTTATTTTAATTTTTTTCTATGTTTTGTATTTTTTTCTTGTTCTTTTTAATTTTTTTGTTTTTTTAGTAGAGAAGGGTTTTCGCCATGTGCCGTGTTTCCCAGGTTGGTCTTGAACTTCTGAGCTCAAGCGATCCGCCCGGCCTGGCCCGCTAAAGTGCCTG